CGGCCCCCACCGCCCCAGCCGCTGGAGCGTCTCCCCGCGCCCCCGGGCAGGGACGGTCCCCGGGGACCCCCAGCCCGAAGGGGGGCTGTGAGCCGGGGGGAACAGCCCCGTCCCAGGGTCTTTGGGGTGGCACTGCCAAGGCTGGGGGGTCTCCGGGGTCTCCTCCATCCCCTGCCAAGCTCAGCGGGGTCCCCCTGCACCCCCTGCCTGGGGCAGGGCAGGGGGTCCCCGGGCAGGGGGGTCCCTGGGCAGGGGGTCCCTGGGCAGAGGAGGCTCCTGTGGGTATTGGGGTCCCCAGACAGGGGAGACCTTCTCTCTCTCTGCCCATCCTACAACCGCCTCTGCCTGTCCTACAGCCGCACTCCTCCGCCAAACACCCAGTCCCCGTTTCCGTCATTGCCGCCAGCTCCCCAGGGCGGCTCGCAAACAGCCGGGGCCGTTCCCGCGCATCCATCTCCGCACGCGCGGCACGAATACCACCCCCCGAAGCCCCCTCTCCAGGCCCCCGCCGCGAGGACACCCCAGCCCAGCCTCCGGCCCCGGCTTCTGCCAGCACGGGTTTTCCTTCCCAACACCAAACATTTTACCTCTCTCCGAGAACCGAGCCCTGATAAATCAGTAACGGGGCTTTAGCTCCTGCTCAGAAAGGGGATTAATACCCAGGCGGTGCCGGCCCGGTTGACGCTCTGCTGTCAAATGCTGCCTGCAGTTGCAGGCAGCGGGGAGGAGGCCTGCCTCCGCTGCCCTTAATCGCCCTCCCTTTATCAGAGCAGCATCAATTTTTCAGCATCACGTGGCCTGGAGCGGGGTCTGCCTGCGCCCGGGGCTGCGGGCAGGAGCCCCGTCCCCCCGCAGCCGGCACCCACCCAGTGTCCCCTCTCCCCTCTGCAGTCCCCCCCGAGGACCCCACCATCGACGGAGCCCCCGAGATCCTGCTGCGCGCGGGGACGCCATACAACCTGACCTGCCGGGCACGCAGCGCCAAGCCGGCGGCCACCATCGTCTGGTACCGGGATGGGCTCCAGCAGGACGGAGCCATCACCAGCACGGTATGGGGACGTGCCGGGACCCCCGCGTCCATCCCCTCCGCCCCACGCCGTGCCTCGGTGTCCCCAGCACGGTGCTGGGAGCCAACAGTGACCGTCCCCTCTCCCCGGCAGGAGGTGTTGGCCGACGGCAAGCGGGAGACAACCACCAGCCAGCTCGCCATCAACCCAAGCGACCTCGACATCGGGCGGGTGTTCTCCTGCCGCAGCACCAACGATGCCATCCCGGCAGGCAAGGAGACCTTCGTCAAGCTCAACGTTCACCGTGAGTCGGTGCCGGGGGGCGGAGGGGACAATCCCTGCGTGTCGGTGGCACAGGGGGGGAGCTGGGGCAGGGAACTGGAGATGAGTTCTCGGGGTGCCTGGGCATCGTGGGGTGCCCGGGGGACCCCAGCCCCGTGCTTGGAGCCGGGTCCCTGCAGAGGGGCTGTGCCCACGGCGGGGATTCGCCCAGTGCCACTGGGCCGGTGCCAGGCTGGAGGTGGGAGGCCAGGCTGGGACTTCGTGGTGACCCGCCCCCCCCCGCCGGCACCCACGCCAGGCAGAGGCGCTGGGTGCCCAAGGCAAGCACCCACACTGGGTGGGGATACTGGGCGCCCACGGTGAGCACCCACACTGGGAAGGGATGCTGGGCGCCCACGGTGAGCACCCACGCCAGGCAGGGATGCTGGGTGCCCGTGGTGAGCACCCACGCCAGGCAGGGATGTGGGGCACCCAGAGCGAGCACCCACACCGAGAAGGGATGCTGGGTGCTCATAGCGAGCACCCACAGTGAGCACCCACACCAGGCAGGGACGTGGGGCACCCACAGCAAGCACCCACACCAAGAAGGAATGCTGGACACCCACGGTGAGCACCCACGCAAGGCAGGGATGTGGGGCACCCAGAGCGAGCACCTACACCAGGCAGGGATGCTGGGTGCCCACAGCAAGTACCCGTGATGGGCAAGGATGCTGGGTGCCCACACTGGGAAGGGATGCAGGGCACCCAGAGCGAGCACCCACGCCAGGCAGGGATGCTGGGTGCCCACACCGAGCATCAGAGCTTTTGGGATCTCCCGCGCCGTCGGCCATGCCCTGGCTGGCAGCGTGGGGAGGGGGCGGCACAGGCAGGGGGCTTCTCCCTTTGTCCCCTCTGCCTTTGTCACGCTGTCCCTGTGCCAGCGCCCGTGACGGCTCCGTCCGCCCTCCCGCAGATCCCCCGACCGTCACCCTGTCCATCCAGCCCCAGACGGTGCAGGAGGGCGAGAGGGTCGTGTTCACCTGCATGGCGACCGCCAACCCCGAGATCAAAGGCTACAGGTGAGGGTCCCGCGGGACCCCAGGAGGTCCCGCCTCAACCTCCTGGCTTGGCTTCGGCATCATACGGGGACGGGGTGGGGGACAAACGGGACCATGGGGGTCCCGTGCACCCCCTGAACGTGCCCATCTTGGGTGTCTGCCCCCCTCCAGGTGGGCCAAGGGGGGGGTGATCATCGAGGACGCCAAGGAGAACAAGTACGACACGCAGGTGGATTACACCTTCTTCACGGAGCCCGTCTCCTGCGAGGTGCACAACGACATCGGCAGCACCAACGTCAGCACGCTGGTGGACGTGCACTGTGAGTGGGGCAGCCCCCGGCCCCGGCCCCCCCGGGCTCCCCGGCTCTGCTCCTCACCCTCTGCCCCCCCTCTCCAGTTGCCCCTCGGATCGTGGTGGACCCCAAACCCACCATCACGGACATCGGCTCCGACGTGACGCTGACGTGCGTGTGGTCCGGCAACCCACCGCTGACCCTCACCTGGACCAAAAAGGAGTCCAACATGGTAGGGTCCGGCAGCCGCGCTGCAGGGGGGTGGGCTGGGGGGTCTCCTGCCCCCGCCCTGATGCCCCCATGGCGCTTGCACCCAGGTCCTGAGCAACAGCAACCAGCTGTACCTGAAGTCCGTCACGCAAGCCGACGCGGGCCAGTACGTCTGCAAAGCCATCGTCCCCCGCATCGGCGTGGGCGAGCGCGAGGTCACCCTCTTCGTCAACGGTGAGTGCCCCCGCCCCGTGCCAGGCCCCCATCCAGGACAGGGAGGGGTCGATGCGGTTGTGATGCCCGTGACGAGCGGTGCCTGCAGCGCGGCGCGTCCCCCCGCCAAACCCAGGGTTTCGGTCGAGCCCCCGCCCCCGCCTTTGCCTCCCGCAGGACCCCCCATCATCTCGAGCGAGGCCGTGCAGTACGCGGTGCGCGGGGACCGCGGCAAGGTGGAGTGTTTCATCGGCAGCACGCCGCCCCCGGACCGCATCGTGAGTGCCGCGGTGGGGGGCCGGGGGGTGCCGGGGACCACGCTGAGCTGCGGGTGCTGACGCAGCCCCCTCTCCCCTACCCCGGCGGGGCCAGGCGTGGGCCTGGAAGGAGAACATTTTGGAGGCAGGGACGCTGGAGCGGTACACGGTGGAGCGGACAAACACGGGCAGCGGGGTCCTCTCCACCCTCACCATCAACAACGTCATGGACGCCGACTTCCAGACCCGCTACAACTGCACGGCCTGGAACAGCTTCGGGCCGGGAACCGCCATCATCCAGCTGGAGGAGAAAGGTAGCGCCGGCACGGCACCGCGGCCGCCTGGCACACCGGGCAGCCTGACTACGTCTCGGGTCTTGCAGGCAACGGGGCTTCGGCCCTCCTGCTGCAGCCGCCTCCTGGCAGTGCCCCTGTCCCCTGTCCCCAGCTAACGTCTCCCCGTCTCCTGCAGAGGTCTTGCCCGTGGGCATCATCGCCGGTGCCACCATCGGGGCCAGCATCCTCGTCATCAGCTTCCTCGTCGCGCTCGCCTGCTTCCTCTACCGGCGCCGGAAAGGAAGTGAGTGGGGGGCACGGGGGGTCTGCAGCCACGGCAGAGGGGACCGTGGGTGCTACCCAAGGCAGGGATGCCACCCACGGGGCGGGAGTGGGAGGATGCTGCCGGCGGGGCTGCTGCGGGCGGCCGCCTCCAGCCCCGGTCCCGCGTGTCCCCAGGCCGCAAGGACGTCACCCTGCGCAAGCTGGACATCAAGGTGGAAACGGTGAACAGGGAGCCCCTGACGCTGCACGCGGACCGCGAGGAGGACACGGCCAGCGTCTCCACGGCCACCCGCGTCATGAAGGCCATCTACTCGGTAAGGGACACCCCACGCCGGGGGGCCACCCCGCAGCATCCCGCCCCACGCCGGGATGGATGGGACCAGGGAGGAACGAGCCCCTCTCTCCCCGCTTCTGCAGTCGTTCAAGGACGACGTGGACTTGAAGCAGGACCTTCGCTGTGACACCATTGACACCCGCGAGGAGTACGAGCTCAAGGTCCGGTGACGGTGCCGGGGCACGTGGGGGGCGTAAAAGAGGGGCAGGTCCTGGCTTTGTCCCAGGTTTTGGCTGCGGGATGCTCGGTGGAGGGGAAAGGGCTGGGACTCGTGGGCCGTCTCCCCGCGGAGCCCCGCCAGGCTCAGCGCATCCCCCCGCTCTCCTCGCAGGACCCCACCAACGGCTACTACAACGTCCGCGCCCACGAGGACCGCCCATCCTCCCGCACCGTCCTCTACGCTGACTACCGCCCCCCCACCCCAGCGCCTACGCTCAGCTCACCACCTACAGCCGCGGTCCGGCCTCCGACTACAACGCCGAGGCAGCACCGGGTCCTGGACCCCCTCCCGGCACGGCGGGCGCGGCGCAGCACTCGGCAAGCCAGCTCTCCTACGAGAACTACGGGAGTCACGCCGCTTTCCCGGCCGGCACCGGTTATGCCACCTATCGCCTGGGGTACGGTCAGCCCCCCAGCCTGGACCGGGCACCCTACGACGCCTACGACCCCATGGGCAAGTACGCCAGCGCCACCCGCTTCTCCTACACCTCCCAGCACTCGGACTACGGGCAGCGCTTCCAGCAGCGGATGCAGACGCATGTTTAGGGCGGGCAGGGGCTGGCAGGCAGCGCCGAGGTGGGGGGCGCAGGCAGCGGGGGTCCGCAGGTACCTCACGACTGTCCCCTGATATTCAGGGGCTCATCCCGACCCTCCTGCCCCGCTTCTCCTCCGGCGGCTGGACTCCACGCGCCGTGCCGCCCCTCCGCGGGGTCTGCTGGCGGCGGGGACGTGCCCCTGAGTCTCTTCGAGCTTCCACTCATTCAGTTCTTTCTTTTCGGTACCTTCCCGGAGGAGGGAGAGGGTTGGGGGGCATCGTTTCCCCTCCCCCGCCGCGCCCACCCCGTCCCCCAAATCCCACCCAGCCCCAGCGGGTGCGTGCGGGTCCGGCGGGTCCGGTGGGGCGGGCGGGGCGGGCTCTGCAGCCTCCGCTCTCCCGCCGCCCCCGATCCCCCCCTCTGCAAGCTCTGCGGGGCCGGATCCTGCCCCGATGGGTCCCCAGCGCCCCCGAGCCAGCACCCCAGGAGTGAGGGGTGCGCGGGAGCTGCCCCCAGAACCCCCCATCCCCTCCAGACCCCTGTGCGAGGGAGCAGGGAGGTGCTGTATGTCTGTATATACGTGTCCATACGTACATACACATATGCAATGCCCAGTTTCTGGTTTTGCCCCAAAAAAGCCCCGTCCCAGCCCGTTCCCATTCCCTGTGCCTTGATTTTGGGGACAGCCCCGGACCATCCGTCCCCCCCGCCGACAGCCCCCGCACCCACCCTCGGAGCGGGGGGTGCCCCGGGGGTCCCGGAGGATGGGGACCGGCGAGATCAGCGCAGCAGACCCCTGGCGTCCGCCTCGTACGCACACTCGTACCTACGGGACAGGCAGCGGTGGGTTTCCATCCCGCTGTTGTCAGCCTGACCCCAAGCAACACCCCGAGCAACACCCCGTCGGACCGGCCGGCTCCGTCCCCCCGCCACTGCCGGCGTGGGGGGGCCCTCTTATGAA